TTGCTCCCTTGGCCTAGTCCAGTGATTGTGGACTCATAATAATTTTCCCTATCTGCTTATGGCTCCAGAACCAGGCCGACCGCACATAGTACTCTTCTCCATCTCCCTTGGCCCATCAAAAATGGCACATGTTCTCACAGTGGCGCCCGCCATCCTTACCAATAATTCCAGCCATGGGAGGAAAACACGAGGCCTTCAGGATTTATGGGGACTGTACTGCATTGAAACAACCAGAGATATCCATTCTGCATCTGCTTGTTGGTTGGAAGTTCTTAGACACAAGGGAGACCACTCTTACCAGCTCTTATCCCCACTGAGGTTTCCTGACTGTCAGAGGTCCTGACGTGGCTGGGAGACAGCTCTCTTCCCTTGCAGCCAAGATGGCTCCTAACCAGGAAATCTCAGGACCCCTGCTTACTCTCTTTCTTTGGCTGCCTCTCTACTCCAGGTCCCCTTCTCTCCTGTCACCACTCCCTTCCCATTCCTCCTTTCTCCTCTCTCTCTCAGCAAGTTTTTTATGTGATTACAGGCACTGCATGGTAATTAGTGCTAAACTCATTTGCACAACTACAGTTAATTGGCTACAACAATTAATTAATGTGTTGGAAATTTGGCACTGGAAAAAAAAAGTTTGTCATCAAAATAAGGGCAAAAAATTGTAGAGTAAGGTACCCATAAAAATTGAGGGCAGGCTTCAGAAGCCCAGCTGGGCCTCAGACTTCAGGCTGGCCTCAGATGCCTTCCCACTCCCCACTTCAACACATTTTCCTTCTTCCTCTTTCATTTTTTTCTCTTCCTTTTCCTCCCTCTATTTCTCTTCTCTTCTCTCTCTCTCTTTACAACTTAAGCAAACTCATTTCCCTGATAAAATATAGCATGACTAATGGCTAGAGCATGTAAAAATCATTGGGAAAATGTCCTTGGAAGACGAATGCATTTTCAGCAGAATAATTAACTTAATTAACAAATTCACATGCATATTCATCAGGCTATTAATGTCTTCTCGGCTCAGCTTGATGAACATTGCGGTAATAACCATCTCATTTACATACTGCATTCTACTGCGATCCAAAACAGAGACAACATACAGGCGTATACACACACACATACACTTACACAAATACACACAACATGCTTGGGCCGCTTTGATTTCCAGGTTGGCTGTGAGTGTGTGTGTGTGTGTGTCTGTGTGTAGGAACCCCGACTGCTTGGTGGTATGATCTTTAGAGGGTCATGAGTGAGATGGGGTAGTGATGTCCATATGTGGATTTAAGAAAACAAATTCATTCATATTCTCTCTCTCTCTCTCTCTCTCTCTCTCTCTCTCTCTCTCACTCTCACTCTCTCTCTCTCACTCTCTCTGCCTCTTTTTCCTTGTTTCCTTTCCCCTGTGTCATTTTCTTCTCTTGCGCCCCCCGCCCCCCAATCTCTCTAGGGAAAAACTTGGTATCTGTGCCAACTTTTTCTCCCCTCCCCTCCTCCCTCTCTCTCCTCCTTCCCTTCTTGCAACTGCTGCCAGCCGGCATCAGCACCGAATTGCCATCTCCTTGAGCTCTCTGTGGAGCAATCTCAGAGAGCAGTAAGGTGTGACGCGGGGCTCTGCCGGCTTCGCAGCACCGCCTGCGGAAAGAGCGCAGGATGGCGGAGGAAGATTAAGAGAAATCTCGAGCAGGGCTCCGCTGCCATTGGTGTGTGCAAATGCCGAGGAGGAAGGGAGAGGGAGAGCGAGGAGGGGGGGTGTAGAAAGGGCGGGGTGGTGGTGGTGGTGGGGAGACCAGCAGCTGTCAGCCTAATTCTTCTAACACTCTGCTTGTGGTCATATTAGAAAAACAGATTATGCCCCTCGGTGCCACTCACTTATACTTGACATACGTTAATGTTCTATATCTCCATTCTCCGGTCTTGACAACAGTGGACTTCAGGTCAAGGAGGATGGGGGTCTGGGTGGCCAAGGGTCACAAACGATTCTACCCCCTCATTCTCTCCTGACCTCCAACCCCAGTCTGTACTAGCCCTTTAGAAAGCAAGCCAGGACCAGAATTTGCATCCTGTGCCACCATTTGGTCCTGCTTTTTGCAGCCCCTGGGAAGTTGAGAGGTCAGAGGACACCTGGAAGCCCTTTTCTCTGAAAAGTCACTGCCCCTTTAGTCTTAATAGGTAACATTAGGGCAAAGTAAGACCAGCCTGATGGCACCCCCTGCTCTAACCTTTCTATTGCCCTCCACCGCAAATCAGAAGTTGAAGGTCAGTGAAAGGGGTCCATGATAGTGCTCCATGAGAGGGCTACAGAGAAGTCATAAGCAAACAAGGCCAGGATTGTTTCTGGGTTGCTATGGAAACCAGGTTCCCTCCTCCTGGCAGGAAGGGAGGGCTGCCTGAGGCCTTCCTCCTTCCACCAATCCTGAAGGCTGTAAAGGCGGAGTTTGCTAAGGCCTGGGGAATCTTGGAGGACAGACCAACCATTCCCAGCAGCCTGCCTGCCAGACCACAGCCCTTTGACTACCACCTTCCCTACCCTCTCACCCCAAAATTCAGTCAAAGGAGGCTTTTCCTCAGTGCCTTGTCCTCTATGGAGACCTGTTGCTTAGCAACCACTAGTGCCTTCTTCCTAATAACTTGCAGGGGCTGAGAGATATAATATGTCTCTATATTCAGTTTCCCTTCCCTGTCTATTTATATTTAATAACCAAAGCCTTGTCTTGGGTTCCCTTGGCACCTGTTTTAGAGGGAGTAAGCTGCATCCTGAAGTTATACCTGAGGAAGAACTTCCAAACAGGGAAGAGTGGGAGAAAAGACAGGAGTAGATAGGGAAGCTGTGGAATCTTTTTTTTTTAAGTGTAGGTTGGGGAGGGGGGGAAGTATTTAGAACTTGGGATGTGGGGAGAGAATGTCCACCGGGATTCCCAAGGGTCTGTTCAGGACCTGGAGTGGACCCTATCAGCTGCTTCCTAGTTGGCATTTTCCACTCCCCATACCCTGTCCTGCCCCTCCTTCCTAAACTTCCAGTCTAGAGCCCTCTCATATTTCTGTATGTGGGAGGCCTGTCCCTCTGGGAATGTCTAGTTTCCTAATGTTTGTATGTTGGTATCCAGGAAGGGGGCTGTGTCAGTGTATGTCCAACAAGGCCTGGGTATCTCTCAAAGTTTTCCAGTCAGTCAGGAAACCTGGGTCTGAGCCCCCTCTTCTTATTCTCCTGTGATCCTGGTTATTCACTTACTCTATCCTTTGTTGATTCATCAGCAGATCAATAATAATAATAGCCCTGGCCAGTATGCTCAGTCATTAGAATATTGGCCCGTGGACAGAGGGCCTTGGGTTCGATTCCTGGTCAAGGGCATGCACCTCAGTTGCAGGTTTGATCCCCAGTTGACATGACTCTCTCACATTGATGTTTCTCTCTCTCTCTCCCTCCCCCCTCCCTCCCTCCCTTTCACTCTCTCTAAAAATCAGTGGAGCCCAGCTGGTGTGGCTCATTTGGTTGAGCATTGTCCCAGGCACCAGGAGGTTGCTGGTTTGATTCCCAGTCAGGGCACATGCCTGGGTTGCCAGCTAGATCCCCAGTAGGGGGCATGCAGCTGATTGATGTGATGTTTCTCATCAATGTTTTAATATATCTCCTTTTCCCTTCCTCTCTCTAAGATCAATAAAAAAATATATATATTTTAAATCAATGGAAAAAATATCCTCAGGTGAGGATTAACAACAACAAAAATAATAATAAATTACAATAGTGGACTTTAGTGGGATAAGTTTAAAGTAATATGTAAGAGGAAACACTCTGAAAACTGTCAAATTTAACTAAAATATTATTTTAAGGTCTGAAAAGGTTTGACTGCTGGGAAGAGGAAGGCATCATGAATCCAGCCTAGCCCTAGGCTTAGGAATGCATTAGTTTTTTGGCCAGAGGGGTATGATTCTTTGCCCTCTGGTTGGTAGGATGGGGAGCTATATATCAAAATCAAACACAAAGCTGTCTAAGGAGAGTAGCACACAGTGTCACCATCATCTTCCCCGCCTCCAGTCCCAAACTCTGATCACTAGTCTTCAGTAGCCCTGCCGATACCCCACCCTGAACCTTCCATCCTTCTGGGTCGGCACCTTCACTGCATTCATGCTAGCTCACAGACTGTACAGTTTCACCCTTCATTCCCCCCTTCTCAGCACTTCCTCCAACCCGGCCTTCTGTGGGAGACAGATGGGGTGTCTGGGATGGAAAAGGCTCTGGGCTCTATGCCGCCTTGGGTGGGCAGCCTGCCTCCCCATCTCCCCACTACTCCCCCTCTCCCTACCTAAGACACTCAGATTCACCCCGGGCAACTTTGGGAGCTCCTGAGGATTCCAACTCTCTTACTTCTCAGACTCAGCCCCAGAAGCAAACCAGAATGAAATCTTTCCAATCCTAGACCCCAGCCCCTCTTTGTGGAAGACCAATGCAAAGGAGGAATTAGGTTTGGGAATGGTAGGGCTCCATGCGAAGGGACTAATGTGGAGAGGAAGGGAAAGGCCCAGGGTCCCTCACTGAGGACTGATGGCTGGGGTTTGGGGCCTGAGTTGACAGAGAAGGCTGAACCTCAGCAGCTCCTTTGTTCCAGAAATCTGGGGTCCCTGAAAGGAGGCTTAGCTTGGGGAGGGGGAGAAAGAGAACTAACATTACAGAGCACCAACTGTGAGCCAGGCATGATGCCAGAGCCTTTCCATACCTGTAGTCACAACTAGCAGGTGAGGAGTCTGGATGAATAGGTGTCTCATGAGCTCTCAGCATCTCTCGGCAGAGTTGACCACCTCCTCCGCTGATTCTATGATGTCATTACCAATTCTCCTACCACTCTGGCTGCTCTTTCTCTCTCTCCTTTGCAAGCTCATCCTTAACTCCTTAGACTCAGCTAAGTCCCCCAACTATATACTTTGATGGTACTACATATCCTTTCAGAGCACTTAGCACAGTTATTTCACACTTATTTGTGTAGCCATTTGAATAATGATCCTATTTCCCCCACCAGATGGAAAGTTCCACGAGGACAATGACCACGTCTGTCTGTGTTCACCGGTGTGCTCCCATTGCCCAGCACAGTGCCTGGCATAAAGCAGCTGTTTGGTAAATATTTGTTGAATGAATGAATAAATGACAAAATTCTATCTCTCTGTCCTAAACTCAACTTCTTAGCCACTCCCTCACTCCAGAGCTAACTCACCCCCAATGTGTGCACCAGGGAACAGGGTGCCTGGAAGGTCATCTCATTCTCCTGGTAAAAAGCCATCAGAACAGGACTAGTCCCAGTTCCAGGGTATGGTATGGGGCCTCTGCCCTCCTAATATCTGGCTCTGCCTGCCTGTTCTCCAGGGATTGAGAGAATTCAAAATCCCAACAACTTCTCCCCATATTGGGGCCTGAAATCCCTCGTGAGCTGGAAAGGAGGAGTTCTATTGGAGAAGGGTGTCCCTCTTTTCTACCTTAGCTGAGATTGCAGAGACCCCCTCTGTTTGCTTCTGTCCTCTTTCCCTGGACTTCAGGGAAGGGGTTGGTTTGAACAAGTGGGAGGGATAGATAAATGGTAAAGCCGGACAAGCTGCTTGTTCGTTGACAGCGCTGGTGACAAGCCTCCGCCAGGTGACTGGAGCAGAGGAACACAGGACCCAGCAGCCTCAAGTCCTTTGGGACTACACTCTCTAGACCCTCGGAAGCAGGGAGTGGATTTGTCTGGGAAGTGGCCAGCCTTCAGCCCAGACCTTCATCTGTACCTTTCTGCTGCCCTTGCCATCTGACCTCAAAATTAAAGTGAGGCCAGCCCCTTGCTCTCCCTGGCCACTCCCTATTTTAGCCAATGCCCAGCCCAGAGCATCTCTTCCACCCAGCTGAGCACCAATATCTAGTTCTCACAGCTGCCTCTCATACAGTCCCCTTATCCTGACAGTGCCTCTCAGCACTCAGGTATTGGGGTCATAGATCTGGAATCCACTCCAGACAGTGTTGCTCTCTCTGACCCTACCTGTTCTCTGGGCCCCTAATGAAGTAGGTCAACTCAGGCTGTGGGCCAAGTCCTTGTGTCCTCATCAAAGACAACATCTGTCTCCTCAAAGATGATAATTCTGCGGAAGGAGATGAGACAGGCACAGGAGAGAAACCTCCATCCTGCCCGGGCCCTCACCCCAGATTCCACTGCAGGCACAGATTGAGGGTGAGGGCCAAGACAGCCACAGAGGCCTACACTCATACATGCCCCTGCACAGGCCTTCATGCCTCTGAGCCCCCAAATATGTGGGCCCCTCCTGGGCTCACCCAGCTACCTGTGCTGCTGCTGCTGCTGCTGCTGCCAAGCCAGCCTTCTTTTATTCATGCGTTGTTTTATTGCTGGCAAATGCTGCTGCTTGCTGCTGTTAGAGGCGTTCCTGCCAAATCCATCCCAACATCTTGGCCTGGCATCAGGGCGGCATGCTAATGTGGAAATTTGAAGAGCCGCTCAGTTTTAAATCGGAATTTTAAATGAGCAGCAGTGCTCCTGAGGGACCCAGGCAAAATTGAACAGTATCTGATCTACCCTTCCTACTCCCACTCCCATAGAATCACCCTACTTTCTCCCCTCTGCTCCCCTTGACTTGGACATTAGATGAGGGAGTGGCATGGGACACACTAGGGCAAGAAGGAGTTGGTACCAGATGGAGTCATCTGGGCCAGTAATGGGCTGAGATTCCCCGACTCAGGACCAAGGAGGGATCCACTGCCTGCTATCATGGGAAAATGGAGGCAGGGACTCTCTACACAAGGGAGTAGAGCTGGGGATGGTGAAACTGACGTGCCTACCCCACTTCCCATTTTACCAGGAAACAAGAAGAGAAGGCCCAGAGCAGAGAAGAGGGAAGGTGGAATTCCAAGAAGACACTCATGAGCAACATGCAGTTGTGTGGACTGGGATATGTGCACACAGCTGTGCATGCAGGTCAGGATGTTTGCTGAGGCGCCCTGTAGCACATATGTACACAGCCCACACATCACCTATGTATGGAGAGAAATTATTCATATATGCAGGGCAGTCTTTCTTCCCATATCCAGGCCCCTGTCCTAACCAGAGCAAGCTGTTTCTATAAGTTGCTAGCCTGAGCTGTGCTCCAGGTTTTCCCATAAATCCTAATGCACTAACATTCCCAGCTCCTGGCAGCTACCTTGAGTCAGCCATGGTGGTGACAGAGCCCCACAGCAACTCTGGGGCACTTAAACTCATTTTGTGCATTGTTGTGGCTACAGTATGGTGCCTTCTCAGATGGCCATCAGATGACAGGCTCCGACCTCTCATCTGGGAGAGGTAGCCTTGCTTTCAGAGGGAAGAATGGGCTAATGGGAGGTGAGAGAGGCAGAAGCTGTACCTGTCTGTTACCCCCTTTCCTCTTTACCTGTCTCCAGGAAACAGATGGCCCCTCATTATAAAACATATATTGTGCCCTGGCCGGTTGCTCAGTGGTTAGAGCGTCATCATGTGGACCGAGGGGTCGAGGGTTTGATTCCTTGTCAAGGGCACGTACCTCGGTTGCAGTTTTGATCCCTGGCCCTGTCGGGGCACATGCAGGAGGCAAGCAATCGATGTCTCTCTCTCTCTCTCTCTCTCTCTCTCTCTCTCTGCCTCCCTTCTTCCCTCTCCTCCCCTCCTTCTTCCCTTCCTCTCTCTCTAAAAATCAATGGAAGAAAATATCCTCTGGTAAGGATTAAAAAAAGAAGAAGAAAACATATATTGAGTGCCCACCCTCAAGGGGACAATGTGCTTAGCTTAGCACAGTGCCTCACAATTTTCTGGGCCGGGTCGATGACAGCCCGAAGAATCTGGATGTGCTATCTCCATCGGACAGTCCACAATAACTTGCATGGCAACCTCAACCTCACCAATGTAAGCTGCCAAAGAATGCTCCCTGACCTTCCCCAGGATTCCTCCTCCCTCAAAGAAGGAGCCAGCTCCTTTATGGGTTGGTGTGGCTGCCAGCCAAGAGGCTTGGGGCAGGCCTGGGGCATGCAGCTGGCAGCTGCCCACCAGATCCCCAAGGAACACCTTCCTCCCCCACTCCATCGCCCCATTCAGATGGCCCCTGGGCTGCAGGGAGTTAGAGCTCCCTGCTCCCCATTTCCAGAGTAAACCTCAAGCTAGAAAGCCCACCATCTTCCTTTCCACTGTAACCTGTTCCAAGATCCTCCACACAGGTACTTCTCCCAGGCAGGACCAAAAAGTTAATATAGTAGGATTGGGCTGGGAGTAAGTAAGGGGCCTTGAGGAGTGAGACAGGGGCTAGAATTATGGGAGAAGTTCCTGAGGTCAAGAGATGGATGAGGAAGAACTCAATGGCAGTGAGATAAGATGGCAGGTGGGGGTGGAGACATGAAGTAAAGGGGCTGAGTGAATCTGCCTCTCATCTAATTAGCAACATGTAAATAATATGCAAATAACCCCCTCTTTGTTTAGAGACCACAGGGTCTGTGCTTTTTGGAAGTGGCTACAGAGGGTCCACCAAGCAGTATCTCTGAGATCCTCAAACATGGGATACTCAGGCTCAACATAGACGTCATGGTGCAGCCATCGGGTTGTAGCTTATTCCCTGGATGGACTCAGTTTCTATAGGCCTCAGTTTCCCTATGTGTGAGATGGACTGGATGGACTCCAAGGCTTCTATCCAGTACTGACAGTCTGGGGTTCTCTGATCAGGGGCCCAGCCAGGGGAATTAATGCCATTCTGGGGTGGAAACTACTTAACTCTCTTGCCCCTGCTGTCCATCTCGGCAGTTCTGCCATGGTACCCCCCGCATCCCCATGCACCTGCCATTCCGAACATGTGAACATTTTCCTGAAGGCAATGTGCTCCCCTACTCAATGCCTTTACCCCACTGTTTCCTCTGCTAGGAATATCCTTCCCACTTTAGTCCCTTACCTGGCTAACTCCTCTAACTCCAACAGCCTTACCTACCTTATCCTTCCACCTTTTGGACATCCCTATGTATTGTTTCCTTGTATTATTTCCCACTAGACTGTGAATTCCTAAAGAGCAGGTACTAGGTTTTGTTCAAGATGGAATCTCCACCCTGGCCTGGTAGTTCCGTTGGTTAGAACATCATCCTGATACACCAAGGTTGAGGGTTAGATCCCCAGTCAGGGCACATACAAGAGTCAACCAATGAATGCATAAATAAGTGGAACAACAAATCTCCCTCCCTTTCCCTCTTTCTCTCTCTCTCCCCCCCCCCTCCTTCCCTTGCTTCTTCCCTCTCTCTCAAATCAATAATAACAATAATAAAGAGACAAAATCTCCAATTTCCCAAGGCTGCTGTAATAAATTACCACAACCTTGGTGTCTTTTTTTTTTTTTCTTGGTGTCTTAAAACAACAAATCTCTTCTCACATTTCTGGAGGAAGGTAGTTCAACGTCAATTTCACTTCATCAAAACCAAGAGGTTGTCAGGACTCTGTGTGCTCTCTCTGGAGGCTCTGAGGGGGAATCTGTTCTTTCAGCTTCTAGGGGCTGCTGGCATTCCTTTGCTTGCAGTTGCATCACCCCAATTTCTGCCTCTGTCTTCACTCTTCCTGCTACTCTTCTGTGTGTGTATAATGTTCCTCTGCCTCTCTCTTACAAGGACATTTGTGGTGGCATTTAGAGCCCAGCCAGATGATCCAGGCAAAGCAATCTCTCATCCCAAGATTCTTAGCTTAATCACATCTGCAAAAACCCTTTTCTAAGATAAGGGAACATTCACAGGTTCTGGGGATTAGGATGTAGACATACCTTTGGGAGCCATTATTAGACTACCAAAATAAGCAAAGGCACTTTTAAAATTGTTAAGCATCTACCACTTGATAAGCATCTACCATGTGCCAGACACCATACATATATTTTATATTTTTCTCACTGCATTTAAGTCTCCCAATAACCCTGAAAGGTAGATAATAATGCCTCCACTTTACAGATGAGGAAACTGAATGAGGCTCAGGGAGATTGAGTCACCTGTTCAAGCTCACATAGCTGGTAAGTGACAGAGCTAGGATTTGAAACCAGATGGGCTTGTCTCCAAAGCCAGCATGATTTTTGCCTCACCAAAAGCCTTCAAGCCTACCCCGGGCTCTGGCTCAAATTTCTGACCTGAGTGAATGTGCAGAAACAGAAAGAGAAGTGGACAAGGGAAGGAAAGATGAGGCCCAGCCTTCCTACTGGTATCGACTCACTTTCTTTTGCCAAAGACCTCTTACCACCACCCCTAAACCTCCCCCACCACCTCTGACCCCTTGTTTAAGGAGCCTGGAATCTCCCCCACTTTGCAGCTCCATGCCACCTACTGCTGCCCGGAGGGTGGCACAGTGCCTGGACTTCAGGCAAAAGATATATCACAGAACCAGAGGGATCTCTGGGGTCACCTCTTTTACCCCTCTGTCCATATAGAGACCCACAGGACAGGGCAGACAGGGTCAGGGTAGTGGGCAGCAGAAGGGAAAATTAGCCATCTCTTCTTTTAGCTACCCTTTCTCCTCACTTCTGACACAATTTGTGTTGGGAAGTCCTCACTGAGGACTGACCTTCCAGACATCATGTTGTAATGAAAGCTGGCCAGAATCAGATTGTCCAAGACTGTCCAAACCATAAAATGAGATTTTGGCTAAGTACCTTCACCTCTCTGGGCTTCTAATTCTTCATCTTTAAAATGGGATCGATAACGATGATAATTATAATACCCATCTCACAGGGCTGTTGGGATAATAACACAGTCCAGGAAAGAAGCGTCCTAACTCACCTGGAGCAAGGGAGGTGCTGCGGGGCTATTTTGTAACAGCCCCTCAGCCCTCCAGCCGAAGCCCCTTTATCCTGGGTAACACAGGGCTTTGCTCACCTCAGCCGTCTGGTCTGCCTTGCGCGCTAGACTGTGAACTCCTCTTGGCAGGACCTTGTTCATTTTTTAATCACCGCTCCTTCTCCCCATTGTCTAACCCGCACTTGGGCACGTAGGATTGTAGGCTGGATCTACACTTGACAAATAAACAAGTGAGGGTATCAGTCGGACCCGCAAGTCCCAGGAGGCACAGAGCCTGACTCCCTCCCACCTCCCCTCCCCCGCTTTTGGGCACGACCCCTTTCCCCTGGGCTCCACGAGCTAGCGGCGAGAAAAGGATGTTCTGCAGCTTTAAGATTTCTCTTGGGCGTCCCGGTTGCCAAGGCGCGGTTGTCCGCCGAGCTGCGTCGGGCTTCGTCTTCTTCGTCTTCGGCGCACCAGCTCCTCGCTTCCGCCACTGCAGCCCGCCGCCGCCGGGCCGCGTCGGCTCTGCTCTTCCGAACCGTCTGGCGGACTTGGCACCGGCCCCGACTCCTCAGTGCCCCCGCAGTGCGTGGCAGGCTGCGGCTTCATTATCCTGATTGATTCCTCCTGCTCCCGGACACCGTGGGGGCCCCGGCCAAGGAAGGGGGGAAGAGGCGGCATCTGCGGGCCCCTTTCTGGGCCCTCGCTCCCAGCCGCTCTTGTTATTTGGGCTGCCGGCCCTCAGTGTTCTGGTGTCCGGGCCGGGCTAGGACGCAGGGCCAGGCCTATCTTTGCTCCCACCATCCCACCCCACAAACCCCATGGCAGGGAGAGCGCCAAGAAGGAGCGGAACTGTCTGGAGCTTGGTGTTGGGGACCAAGGTGCCAGCCCTGGGCCACAAACGCAGCGTGGGTTTCTGTCTCCGGGCCTGCGCTCTGCAAATGCTTTGGGCCTTTCCCAGGAGGATATGGAAGGCTTGTGAAGGGAGCACAGTGATAGACTGAGAACTTCGAACTTCGGGAGAATAAGCCTTTGCCAAACGGGAAAGGTGACATCTTTGAGGAACATTGATCACGTGGGCCAAGGCCCTATGGCACATGTCTTATCACATGCCTCCCAGGTTGCCCTAAGTACAGTTATCAGGGGAAGCAGGGACAGGGTCTGCCAAAACAACAGGACACAGCAAGGAGCTGAGCTTAAAGGAAGGCCAGAGACCTCTGTAGTTAAAGAACCTGGTCCCAGATCTAGCAGGGGGTGGTCTGGCCACAAAATCGTGGTCCCCCAGGAAATCAAATACTGAGGTGAGGCCTCAGTGGAAAGAGCAGTTGGGAACCTGGGATCATCTTCCTAGTTCTGCCACTTGATTTCTGACCTGGACAAGTCACTTTACTATTCTTAGCCTTGGTTTACTCATTTGTAAAATGGGGTTAAGACCTCTCTGACAGTAGTCAATGGCTAAATGGGATAATGATGGCAGGGCCCTACCTAAGTTATCTGGCAAAAAGGAGAAAGGGGGGTGAGAAGCAGGCTTCTATCTCTGCTGCTGTGTTAGGTACCCTCCTCTCTCCTTGAAGGAGGTAACTTTCCTCCATATGCCTAAATCCCTTTGAGTAGATGATGACATAGAACCTTCCAGCCACAGCTGCTTCCTTGTCAGGGGAGGGGCAAAACTGCTGCCCACCTCCTTGGCATGGCATGGATTTAATTTCTCAGTTCTCATCAGGCTCTCTGTGAGGCCTTCTTTTCTGTAAGTCCTGACAGTCTCCCTCTAGTACCTCTGTCCTGTCCTGTTCAAAGGTCAGATACACAAACTTGGCCCTTTTGGCTAACTCCAATCTTTAGCTCCTGTCAGTTCTGGGAAAGGGAGCTGGTGGAGAATTTGAGGCCAGTTTTTCCAGACCTGTGGCAATCTTGTCTGTGAACATGATCTGGGCCACTCAGGCAACTAAGTGTCTATTTCTAGGTCTATTTCCTCATCTATGAGTTAATTAATTTATTTTTCCAGCTCGTATTCCTGGGTGACCGTACTGGGGCAGCACAGTGCACCCAGCAGGTGGGAGTGCAGGAGCCAGAGTGGGTGGGAAGAACTGCACTCTGAAACCGCAGATCCTCAGGGGGGCGGGGCGGGGGGGAGGGGTAGATACACATGTCAGCCTCTTCAATACAAGGGTATTTGCTGCTGGAGGACCTTCCAGATTCTAGAACATTCCACAGTGTTATGCTGCTTTCCCCCTTTTTCTTGAACATAGCAGACTCTGGCCTTGGACTCTTCAGCCTGAGGCTAATTGCTTTCCTGGGGGAAAAGACAAATTATAAATTTTAGTCTGGAGCTTTTGTTCATTTCATTTTGTTAGAATTATTTATTTTTAATACAATTATGCATTATTTTTATATTCAATGTAAAAACACAGTAAAAAAAATTACCAGTTGAGGCGGGGAGGGGGGTGTGTAGGGAGGGAATGTCAGGGAGGAATTTTTTTCTCTGGTGGCCAAAGGGAGGTCAGCACATGTATCGAGGCACGTCATGCCCTTGATTAATGTAACCCTGTGAGTGGCTTTCTCAGCCTACCTACTGGCCTGGCTGCCCACCCACCCCTGGTTGACCTGCTCCATCGTCAGCACCTGTAGGCCTGGACTCCACTTCCTATTTATACAAATCACATGGGACCTCGCTGTGGCTGCTCTAGGCAGAAGAGGGAGCCACAGCCGCCTAGTGGCTGCCAGGGAAGCTGGCAGGAAGGGGCATCTCCACCAGACGTCTCCTGGGAAACAGTGAGCTCCCCGGAGAAGGGACATTTGGAAATAAAATTCCTGCCACTGTGTGTTTGTATGTGTGTTGGGGCGGGAGAGGGAGTTAAGAAACCTCCCCAGCCCCCTCTGCTCCTCTCTCTTCAGGGAAAACCTCTCAGCAGCTCTTCTTCCTCCCAAAACTCCAGCCTCCTCCCCAGAAACAGCATAGGCTCTGCTGGGACTGGGTAATATCCCTTCAGATTTATGCAGGTGGAGGAGAGCACTGGACTGAGAGCCAGAGGCCAGTGTCCCTGGCTGCCCTGCCTCGCCCTCTCTGCGTCCTGGGTTCCTGCTCTGTAAATGAGGATACTGGCTGAGATTTCCCCGTTGCTCTTCGCACAGAGGGTTCCTCCACAGGTCCAAGAATACAGTGGGGCCACTTGAGGTTATTTTTGGCACTTGGAGCAGATCCCTGGTAGGAGCTAATGATTCCTTGTGTGACCTTGACTGGTCACTAAAACAGCCTCAGCCCTCACCTGCACATCCACTCAGGTATTCGCAGGTGCTTATGGAGAGTGACATCTACACTTGGAGGGCCCAGAGACTGCCCAGCTTTCCATGAAAGCCCTCCCCATGCTGTCCTGTGCCAGAGGCCAGCTGCATCCACCTTCCTTCCATGGCGATTCCTTTCACCTGAAACTGGAGGGCCCTGGAACCTTCTCTTCCCATAGTACCCAAAGCCAACCTATGAGAGAAGCCATCGTGCCTCCTGGGGAATAGAAGTGGGGTCCCTGCCTCCTCCCCTCACACATCCACCTGGTTCCCTTTGCTCTCCCTTGCTGTTGAGGGACCAAGCCCCCACTGCCAGCCGTTTAACCCACCTTTCCCCTGTAAAATACTGGCCACATGAGTGAAAGCAAGTGGCTCCCTCCCAGCTGCAGTGCCCCTCCTGACCTCACTTCCTAGATCCCCCCTTTCTCAAGAGACCCCACCTTCCAGGCAGAGTGAAGTTTGCTGAGAGAGCTTTCCATGTAGGAAACAACCCCACAATTTTTGGAGGAGATATAGGAGCTCCAGGAAGGAAGCGGGGGAGAGGGAGGGTCGCGCTGCAGAAACCCTGGAGGTCCAACCCTTCAGGTGTCCTTTAGGAGGAGACATGGACTAGCCCACGTGGCCTGATTTGACCTTGGGGCTTCTCAGCCCTAGGTCTGTCCTTGGGAGACAGGCCAGTGAGTTGGAGGTGGGAGAGAAGGTGAAGTGGGGAGCAAGGGGAGGGTGAAGCTGCAGAAGTGGGGAGGGGAGTGACTGTCACCTTTATTGGGCACCTACTGTGTGGCAGGCAGACACGATAGGCTCTGTCCCAGTTTTACCTGGATTGTCTCATCCAGTTCTCACCCCAGCCTTGTGCCAGTGTTATTATCTCTCCTGTTCTGACAGAGAAGGAAACTGAGACTCAGAGGTGTTATGTAACTTGCCCAAGGTCACACAGCTTGTCAGGAGTGAAGCCAGGATCCCAGCCCAGGTCTGTCTGCCTCCAGTGGGTTCTCTCTGCTGCCAGAAAGTCCTCCTCCTGGAAAAGCAGGTCTGGAGTTGGGGTTTTCAGTCAGAACTCATCAGGCTCCCCAGAGGCAAATCTATTGTCATCTGCCCTCCTCCTCCTCACCCATCTGCCAGGCAAGTCGCAGGTGAGCCCCCTGCCAAGGCCCCTGCCCCAGCCCCAGGTGCTAGCTCGGCTTGCCTGGCTCCCCGCCCCTCCCTGGTGCCCCCAAGGTGGCTCTGAGGTCACCCCACACCCCAATGCCTTTAATTCTGCATTTCCAGGTCACAGAAAGCATAGGAAAAAGCAGGAAGAGAGAGGAGGTCACTTGAAGGTTGGAAGCAGGGGCTCTGGTCTTCCACAAAAGATTGGGGGTCCTGGTTATCTCCTTCAGTTCAAATGAACCCTTTCCTAACTCCCACCCCTCATCCCCAGAGACAGCCAGAGCTTTGCTTAGTTAATGAAATACAAAAGAAGGAATCAGGGGGTGGGGGTGGCTCCAGAGCTCTGGAAAGCGAGGGAGAGAGGAAAAGTTGGGTCTCTTCCAAAGAGTTAATGTTCCACAGTATGATCGATTAGGTGTCAGATGTAATTTCAAACCAATACAAGATGAATGGCATAATTTTCCCTCTCTCATTTTAGACAGAATTAAGAATCCATTAGCTAACACAAATTTTTGGCAAGTTTAATAGGAGCTCAAATCTACATTCAGAGGAAACGCTCCCCAAAGCATGTTTTAAGCTTTTACTCCTCAGGCCCCTGGCCTCCAACGTCCTCCTGACCCTCACAAGCCCTCTGTTCTCTGTCCCCTACATGCAGCCCCCTCTCCCTTCCCTGGTCCCCCTACATGCTCCTCCTCAACCCAGCCCAAGATTAACTGGCCTGACCCCTCTCACAAAGGCTGGGCCTGCCCACCATTGTCTTCCAGTGGCAATGGGTGGGGGAAAGGGGCGGAGGGGCTGGCAGTGGGCCCAGGGAATGGGGGAGGTTGCTGAATTGGCCCCAGGCTCCAGACAAACCCTAGGGAGAGGGGTGAATTGATTGGGGCTTTGGGGCTGTTTGAGTCTCAGCTACTCATCAGTATCACCCCCAGAGTAGTTCTTGTTCTTAGA